ACTGGGACAAACTGGGATGGACTGGGACAAACTGGGATGGACTGGGACAAACTGGGAGGGACTGGGAGGAACTGGGAGGGGAACTGGTGGGGATTGTGAGGGACTTCTGAGCTGGCACCTGTCCCACCTGTCCCCAGTGATGTCCTCAATATCCTCAATGTCCCCGTTGTCCCCAATGTCCCCACTGTCCCAGGTGTACACCTTCGAGCTGTCCCCGATATCCCCAGTGTTCCCAGTGTCCCCAACGATGTCCCCAATGTCCCCAGTGTCCCCAGTGTCCCCAATGTCCCCAACCCTGCCCAGGTGTACACCTTCGAGCTGTCCCCAGTGTCCCCAGTGTCCCCAGGGTCCCCAATCCCCCCAGTGTCCCCAATCCCCCCAGTGTCCCCAATCCCCCCCAGTGTCCCCGATGTCCCCAGTGTCCCCAATTCCCCCATTGCCCCCAGTGTCCCCAGAGGTGTCACCCACCTCCCTCGTCCACGATGGTGGCCTGTGCCGCCTGCCCGTACAGGTCCACCACGGCGTAGACGTTGGGGGGCACGTTCCAGGCCGCGGGGCCCTGGGCGACGCCGTTGACGAAGAAGTGCAGCGTGCCGTCGTCCCTGCGCACCACGCCCACCGTGTCCCCCGCCTGCGGGGACAGCGTCACCACCGGCACGGGGACAACGGGCACCACGGGGACAACCCTGCGCACCACGCCCACCGTGTCCCCCGCCTGCGGGGACAGCGTCACCACCGGCACGGGGACAACGGGCACCACGGGGACCACGGGCACCACGGGGACAACGGGCACCACGGGGACAATGGGGACCACGGGGACGTGTCCCCGCCGGCGGCGGTGGCCGCGGTGTCCCCACCTTGAGGCGGTCCAGGTTGTGGCCGTACTCGTCCAGCACGGTGGTGCCGTTGTGCATGACCCCGTTCCCCGTCATCATCCACGTGCCTGGGGACATCGGGAGGGATTGGGGACACTGGGGACATTGGGGACAGTGGGGACATTGGGGGATTTTGGGGACATCAGAGGGATTCAGAACACTGGGGACACTGGGGACACTTGGGACATTGGGGACACAGGGACAGCCAGCATGGTGGTGCCGTTGTGCATGACCCCATTCCCGGTCATCATCCACGTGCCTGGGGACATCAGGGACACTGGGGACATTGGGGACATCAGGGACACTGGGGACATTGGGGACATTGGGGACATCAGGAGCTGCAGGTAGGCGGGGTTGGGATGGGGACACTGGGGACACTGTGGGGCTGGGATGGTGGCACTGAGGTGGCACTGAGGGGACACTGAGGTGACACTGAGATGACACTGAGGTGACATTAAGGTGACACACCTGAGCGCAGGTTGGTCATGGTCGATGGCAGCTGCAGGTAGGCGGGGTTGGGATGGGGACACTGGGGACACTGTGGGGCTGGGATGGTGGCACTGAGGGGACACTGAGGTGACATTAAGGTGACGTTAAGGTGACATTGAGGTGACATTAAGGTGACACACCTGAGCGCAGGTTGGTCATGGTCGATGGCAGCTGCAGGTAGGCGGGGTTGGGATGGGGACACTGGGGACACTGTGGGGCTGGGATGGTGGCACTGAGGGGACACTGAGGTGACACTGAGATGACACTGAGGTGACATTAAGGTGACACACCTGAGCGCAGGTTGGTCATGGTGGACGGCAGCTGCAGGTAGGCGGGGTTGTGGGTGGTGACGCCGATCTCGATGGACCCCGCCCACTTGTCCACCATCTTGTCCAGGCGCACCTGGAACAGCTCGTTGTCCCCGAGGGGCCGCGCGCTCAGCACCACGCCGTGGTTGAAGTCATCCGTGGCACTGGGGACAT